GGCATTCTCTTTGGCATTCTCTTCGGCATTCTCTTTGGCATTCGGCATTATCTTTGGCATTCTCTTCGGCATTCGGCATTCTCTTTGGCATTCGGCATTCTCTTTGGCATTCTCTTTGGCATTCTCTTTGGCATTCGGCATTCTCTTCGGCATTCGGCATTCTCTTCGGCATTCTCTTTGGCATTCGGCATTCTCTTTGGCATTCTCTTTGGCATTCTCTTTGGCATTCGGCGTTCTCTTTGGCATTCGGCGTTCTCTTTGGCATTCTCTTTGGCATTCGGCATTCTCTTTGGCATTCTCTTTGGCATTCTCTTCGGCATTCGGCATTCACTTTGGCATTCTCTGTGGCATTCTCTTTGGCATTCTCTTCGGCATTCGGCATTCTCTTTGGCATTCTCTTTGGCATTCGGCATTCTCTTCGGCATTCGATACTCTCTTTGGCATTCTCTTTGGCATTCGGCATTCTCTTTGGCATTCTCTTCGCATTCGGCATTCTCTTTGGCATTCGGCATTCTCTTTGGCATTCTCTTTGGCATTCTCTTTGGCATTCTCTTTGGCATTCTCTTCGGCATTCTCGTCGGCATTCGGCATTCTCTTTGGCATTCTCTTTAAGGCATTCTCTTTGGCATTCTCTTCGGCATTCTCTTTGGCATTCTCTTTGGCATTGGGCATTCTCTTTGGCATTCTCTTTGGCATTCGGCATTCTCTTCGGCATTCGGAATTCTCTTGGGCATTCTCTTTGGCATTCTCTTTGGCATTCTCTTTGGCATTCTCTTTGGCATTCTCTTCGGCATTCTCTTCGGCATTCTCTTTGGCATTCTCTTCGGCATTCTCTTTGGCATTCGATTCTCTTTGGCATTCGCTTTGGCATTCTCTTCGGCATTCTCTTTGGCATTCTCTTTGGCATTCTCTTTGGCATTCTCTTTGGCATTCTCTTCGGCATTCGGCATTCACTTTGGCATTCGGCATTCTCTGTGGCATTCTCTTTGGCATTCTCTTCGGCATTCGGCATTCTCTTTGGCATTCTCTTTGGCATTCTCTTTGGCATTCTCTTTGGCATTCGGCATTCTCTTTGGCATTCTCTTTGGCATTCTCTTTGGCATTCTCTTTGGCATTCGGCATTCTCTTTGGCATTCTCTTCGGCATTCGGCATTCTCCTTGGCATTTCTTCGGGCATTTCTCTTTGGCATCTCTTTGGCATCTCTTTGCTCCTTTGGGCCATTCTCTTTGGCATTCTCTTTGGCATTCTCTTTGGCATTCTCTCTGGCATTCTCTTTGGCATTCTCTTTGGCATTCTTTTTGGCATTCTCTTTGGCATTCTCTTTGGCATTCTCTTTGGCATTCTCTTTGGCATTCTCTCTGGCATTCTCTTTGGCATTCTCTTTGGCATTCTTTTTGGCATTCTCTTTGGCATTCTCTTCGGCATTCTCTTCGGCATTCTCTTTGGCATTCTCTTTGGCATTCTCTTCGGCATTCGGCATTCTCTTCGGCATT